GGTAGGCTGTCGGCCAAAGAAATCACTCTGATTGGCTGTTCAGCTAGCGAATCAGTGCATGAGAAGCGAAACGGAAGTGAGGGACCCAAACAAACTGAAGGCAAATCTGAGATTTCATTTAACTCCAGTTAAACATTTAACAATTAGTTGTTTGTTTATATCACGCAGTCTTTTCTTCTTTTCTCGGTGTATCATGCAGTCTTTCTTCCGGTTGTTGCCTCTTTTGAATGACGAATACACACTACCGCCGCCTGCTGGTAAGGGGAGTTATTGCCACTCACGAATGCGCAGTTCGTACGTGCTACTTGGCCGTCGGCTGAAGTCTTTGCGGTGTGTTCCAGTGCGACACATGGCCAAGACGCAGGAGACGTGAGGCGACGTTCCGTTGGGACGTGTTCTTTGGTGTTCTTTGGTGTCAGTTTGTTGTGTAAGGAGCTTTAGAGGAGGGACATGGAGACGCAGCTACTCACGGCCAGACCTTTGCTAATGACTTATATGTACAGGTTCCATGTGTACACTGACAGTGAACCAGGATGCTTGGTAACAGAATGTAGACCCTCCAGAAAAACGCGATTCTGCGATCGCAGAATTTACCGCATAATTGGCAAAATGGCGCAGATTTTTAAAAGGCTGCATATTTATTAAAAGGCCGCATAATCCCCGCATTTTTCCACACAAAGTTGAGAAAAAAAAAAGTTAACTCGTCTTGACGTGAAGTAGTGATGATGATGACGTGACGTCATCAGCTCGCGCATCACAGAAGGTAAACAACACCGTAGAGTGAACGTGTGGAAATCACACGACGAACATTTCTGCTAAAGACCGGGCAAAGCAGTACCCCGATGTCTTTCACGAAAGCGGGGGGAAACTATTCTGCACCCCGTGCAACTGTGTATTGGAGCATACGTCTTAGAGAAAATCGACGGTGACGACCCACTTTGATTCAGTCAAACATGCTTTCTGCTGCTGCTGCTGCGGACAAGAAAGCAAAACAACTCACGTTCACCGAGGCATCAACCTCCAAAACGCTTTCGAGGGCTACAAGAAACGAAGTGAGTAGCCAACAAAATTGAAGCTGGTCAGATAACGAGCTCCTTTCAGGCCAAAGGAATCAAACCCAAAATACGCTCTTCTTCCACTGAGCTCCCCATTCTTAGACTTATAAAGGCTGAAAAATGCACTGCTCAGAGATGTATATCGCAACACATACAACTGTTTTTACTTCAAGGTAGCAAAAGTCAAGGCAATGGCAAGGCATGCCAAACAAACATCTTTGATCATGTTAGCAGGAGCAGTTTAATAACTGAAAGGTTTAATTACGCTGGAAATGGACTTTGCTATCTGAGAAATCCCCCTTTACGCAGTGGACTCTTATTCTTGGCACCACACACATGCTCTTATCACACAGCGCTGCAGCAGGCTGCTGGTAATTGCCTTGTTTTCTCTCAACTAGCCAAACCCCAGAGACCCTGCCAAAGAAGTGCTGAGCTCAGCATGTGCTCCCCATCACTGCTACTAGTCTGTCCGGCTTCTGGAGGACTTGCTCACCTCTTCCAACTTCACTTTCCTATCCTGCTCCAACATTATGAAACCGTACACATGCTGACCTGTGAGAGGTGTGTTACTTGCTGTAGGATGGACAACAACACAGGTTCACTTTGCGTCATCATTTAAACATATACTGTATATTGCAGTACAGTAGGCAAACAAACATCATATCTCATCTTTAACATAAACACTTTCCTGTGAAACAATGAATGTGTAAAACATTTATGTGCGTATTTGTTCATACCCGGTGTGTGTAGTCTCCACATACACCCTGGAAAGAACAGAAAGAGGTCAATCAGAGGAGACAAAGGACTTCCCTTTGAAGAGTACACGTTTAAATCAGAAAGGCGTTTTAGAGTTAAAGCAATAGCTTTGAAAGAGGTTTAACACAAAACACATCTTCTCCTCTATGAGAAGTGTAGGGTTTGGTCACTTTTCCAAAACTAGGCTGTGCACTGCTGATTTGCTGCAGTAACTCTTTCACAATCAGTAAATGTTCTGAATACTTTTTGAACTCCTGCAAACCATGCCTCACCTTTTGCCCCTTGAGTCCTGGCTCCCCCTAGAAACAGAAACAACACAGGTGAGTGAGATTAGTGAGAGGTTTAGCAGTTAGCTGCAAAGATTAGCTTATATGTCAGAACTGATACCAGATTTCAGAAACTTACTTGGAGTCCTTTAACGCCACGCTGACCCTGCAATACAACAACAACAGATATTCAGCTTCACAAGAAAACATACATGACTGACCACAAATTCCTCCAACGAACAAGAATGAAATGAGTAAATATGTCGAGGCATCAATCAGTCTGCTGAACAAGCTGTTCAGTAGTCTATTCCAATTACTCGTTACGGGCGAAGGCACTGAGTTTGACTTCCCAGCAGGCCCTTGGGTGTGCTCCGGGTTGTAAGTGGCTGTCAGAGCCCAGCGTCTGGGTGTTTAATGAAACCAGGCAGAGGGCCGGCAGAACACATCCAGTGCCCCCCATGCTGGGGACCCCATGGCCCTAAGCTCCAGAGCCACTGAAGGCAACAGCATCTCTATACATTTAGCAGGCAAGCCCTCAAAGCCCCTCATCAGGAAGGAGACTGAGAAACAGGAGCCCATTATGGGCTCATTAATCAATATTAAACATTTTTTCAACAGTATCCAACCCCACTTGGCCTCCTGGAAATGTTGTCTTTTGTCCCGGCATTGAGTTCCCTGGAGCTGTCCCCCTGCTTCAAAAAACAAACCCCTGTCTGACCGAGAGTAATGGTGTTCAAACAGAGGCTTTGGAGAAGCTACTGCAATGAGCAGTGGGCATGATAAAAGCCAGAGCGTTAGGACCAGCGGGACAACACTGAAATGACCTACACCACACCGTCAGTGAAGTGCAACAGAGCTCTTTCATACTGCAAATCTAAATTAAAGCAAAACATTATTCCAGAGAATGATCTCAATGGGTGGGTCGCATGTCCAGACGGACTCCAACAGTCGGAGAGAGGACACACATTACTGTTTTCTTTTCTTTCGCTTTACCATACCTGCACATGCTATCTTTGGTATGGTTAGGAGCACAGTTATGGCAAATACACTCCATCATTAAGGTTAGATGGCTCAAGAATGTGGTTAAGTTAAGATAGAACACAAACTCCAACCTCCACATATTCATTTTCAACTTTAATAGGACAGACTTCCTGCACTGAACCTGAACCTGAACATAAACCCTATAACACCCTGTGGAAGCTCATACAATCATTGTTATTGTACAATGCCATGTATTTTTATGCTGCTGCAACGCAAACATTTCCCAAATTGGGATAAATAAAGTACTATCCTATCCTATCTTATCTTATCTTATCCTATCTTATCTTATCTTATCCTATCTTATCTTATCTTACCTTATCTTACACACACTTGTGATCTAAACTGAATGACTTCAAAAACCTATTCCTGTCTCACCAGCAACATGATGCTCATAATATGACCTTTAGGGATATAGACTGTTATTAGTGAAGGGGGCATTACATGTGTCCCAGTAAAAATACAGAACAATCCCTTAGTGCCCATTCCAGGTAGTTAGACTTGTGCCTACTACCACTGATTTAAGCCACAGTTTGCTAACAGCTCCCATGTGACCGTCCACTGTTAGCCCATCACTGTGTGCATAAATCAGGCACCACTCTGTTTGTCTTATAACTGCGTGGGCTCAAAATGAACACAAAGCTACAGTTAAACTGAGCAGCAAAACAAGATTTTTAAATGTTGTAAATGTGTGAACATGTCATTCAATTGTTATTGGCTCAAATGAGTGCTTGACTGGTAGTAATGGTATTATATTGAAACTGTGATGATGAAAAATGTAAGGAATGCTTACCATGTCTCCCTTTTGTCCGTTCTGTCCCTGTGTGAACATTAAAGAGGTCAGGGCAGGTGGTGGAGTGACGGAACCAATGCAAACTGATTTTCTTGTAGTTCTTAGATATCCATAGCATGTTTAACCCCGCCCTATAATAACACTAATGACACTTGATTTTATTACGGTAATGACCATCATTATTATTATCCTAAGTATGCTCATTATCATGACCCTATGATTGGTTATTGCTTCTAAAGAAACACTCAATTACTCAGTTATTTCACTTTATGACACGAACTGCGGAAAACTCACAGGCTTGCCATCCAACCCAATTGGACCCTGGGATAAAAGAAGAGGGGCAAATGTTAGAGTTCATCACAAATGACTGCACCAACAGCTGGAACCATTATACATTAGTTAGAAAACAGTTTAAGTGCTAAATACATAGCAATAAAGGTAAAGTGCAGAGGTAGAGTGAGTAATGATTAATAAGTAATGTTGGCAGTAAAGTGACATTTGGTTAGCATTAGTCCTGATTCAGGGTATACTATACATCATCACCATGCAGAGGCCTTGCAAAGGACTCAGAAATATCAGCTGAAAGTTGGTGTAACAAAGTAAAGTTCTCTTCACCCCCCAACTGACTTGAGAGCAGTTCAGCAGCCCTCAGTGCTACAGCTGCTGGATGGAAGCTAAGTGTATAGCTTATGCTAGTTGTGGCAGAGGCTCAGTCTGTAGGGACTTGGAACCGAAGGATCGCCGGATCACGTCCCAATCAATGATATCAGAAATTTCCATATTTGACACAAATTATCAATGTGTTTAATTTATAAAAGTGTCAGCCTGACTGAGGATGGTATGACTTACTGGAAATCCTGGAAATCCTCTTGTTCCAGGTTGTCCCTGAAGAGAAACAGAAAGTCAGTCATGTGTTTGTTGTTCTTCTGAAAGTCTGACGTGAAGCTGATAGCAGCTCAGTGAGAGAAGATACAACCCTCTCCCCCCCACCCCAAATACTTAACTGAGGTATTTTAGGAGGACCCAAATAGATTTTGACACAAGTGATACTGAAGACTCTCATGATGTATTGGTGTGTGAATTTGTTCAGGCAGCACCGGAGGAAATTGGACAAAAGGACACAAAGTTCTAATCTAATAAACATGTATTACTATAAGAGTTTAAGAGCTTAACGAATGACTGTCCATTTCAATTAGCCAGCATGCTTTGATCAGCATAGCTTTGATAACCTGCCCTTTCAAAAATAACAAGACATATATTATCCTGAAGAGAAGGAATGATGAGAAAATAAAGCTGTAAGACAATGACAAGAGGTGCAAGTGACTAATGTGTTTCCCCTTTCATTGTCTTGGCGGGGCGCTGCGCCCTGCCAACGGCGCCCTGCCTGAAATTCAAGGTGTTTTTTTATTTAAAAAAAATATATATATAGCACCAAATTGCAACTGAAGTAATCTATCTACGGTCACTTTTCACATGTGCTCTTTTATTAAATAAACTAAACACCTACGTTATTTATCCAATGTGCATGTTTCAGTGTCCACTGCTTTGCGTATTCACATTCTCCCTCCACTCGGTTTCTGAAGGCTCCGCTCCCCCCCCCACACACACACGAATGCACACACTCACAATCAGAGACAAGAGCGGAGGAAAGGAGGAGAACAACAAAGTTTAAAATAAAGTCAAACAAATCTGCATTATTGCCCCGAGCTCTGCCGTCAGCCCGTTTGTGTCCCCCCCCCAGTTTCAAATTTGTTTATTATTATTTTTTTAACCGCAAGCCGTTATCCTCACGGGAGAAGGAAACACCAGCCTGCCCAGGTGGACGCGCGCGAACGCGACAACGAACGTAGCGTGCGCATTCTAAAAATAGCTCACAGATGGTGAGCAGGTACCGCGGTTTTGAACTACAGTATTGAGATGTGAGTTGGTTTATTCAGTAAATTAGCTCAGGATAATTGGATGTTTTGTCTACACCTGTTGATGTGAGGCTAATGCAGGATTTGCTAGCTTGATGCTACCGGCATTTAGCGGCAGTGACTCAACAAATTGCCTCTTAAAATGTATCGTCAGCAATGTATGACAAGCAGACTGCTTGTTTAATGTTAGACTCACACCAATAGCTCAATATGATCATAACACGATTGCTTTC